AAAGGCATTTTGATTGCTAAAATTGATAAATAACTAATATACAATTATGTGGTAGTAATAAAAGTGGTTTGTAGATATTGAGAAGGAATTCAACTAAATTAATACTTCAAAACCCAATTTAATAATACATTATTTATGTTAAAAGACCACCCATTTGCATAAATCATAAATCATTTCTTTCAAATTATAAGTCATCTGAATTACTTTTTCCATTCAAACATAAAATACTTGCAATATAATTACCTATTTGGTAGGCGTCTTCGAGAGTCCTTCAGAACAGAATTGGCGAATCTGCAATACAAAAATACAGAAAATAATCAATAAAAACTCTTGAAGCTAAGAAAAATATGCAGATTAAATTCTAGAGGTTTCCTTTGCCATAAATATTGTCTCAATCGAGGCACAAAATGCAAACAACAATTCCGAGTGTGGGGCAAAAGCATTTTGACATATTGAGAGGCGAATAAAAATGCAGACTTCTCCGATTCGAGGCACTCGGCGTCAGCGAAATGCGGTCGAAAAATAATAATAATTGCAACGGGATTCGCTGCGAATCACAGCCACTTGAAAATGTCAGGATTTTCCCCATTTCCCCCTTCAATAATACCCCTTCTATTTTACCCATCCCTTTGATCTGGCGTTTCTTTCATAATTTAAGCAACTGCATTCTGTTGTTTTGTTTGTTTATCTTTTTCTGGCTTCGACGTCTGTCAGCTGGAAATGTTTATTTTGCCCATATACGATACAGTCAGTTGGTAGGAGAAACTTCCCCATAACAAAACTCCGCCGTTTTACCCAAAATTCTTGATGATGCTGGGAGCTGAAGTTCTTTCCCAATGTTGTTTCCTGTGTAATTATGCTTAGAAGGTTTTTAGTTTTTAGCACAAATTTTGCATTTTTGTGTTTCTGGAACGGTTGGAGCACAAAAGAAGACGTGGGGAACCTGATATTGCATAAATTTGCCGCCAGCTTTTGAAAAGTTGATTTGAATTTAAATCGAATCGAAATCGGGGCAGACTCCGTTTGCCGCGTTTCAGGAAAAGAGAATTGAATTATTAAATGTGCCACGAGCTTCGCAGTCCGCTTTTAATTCCCAATTTTGCACATGAAGCCCCTCACTTGAATTGTTAATTTATTAAATTCCGTTCGACATAATTCTCCTCTTGTTTCGGCAATAAATTTCAATTTGGTCAAACCAAAAACCAGTCGTCGCAGCCTCAAAATTGTGTCAATTGAAAGTAATAAAGTCATTTAGATTGCTATCTTCGTTTTCCCTTTCAGATATTGTATTTGACGATACCTGGCCTATGATTAGATAGGCGTTTCCAGACATGCCGTTCAATCTAAAAAGCCAAATGCAAATAGAAAGTTAAAAAATAATACTCGGTGCAAAATTACTTTGTCAACTTCATAAAAGGCTAAATTGCAACATTGTCTGTTTGACTATCTCAATCTTTTCTATTCGATTTGCATAACCGAAGTACAAAGAAGCGTTGTCGTAGCTGGGTGAAAAATGCAAACAAGTTGCGTTGGGGGAAAAGTTTTTGGAGCAGGCAAATGTCGAAGTGCAAAGAAGTCAACAACAGAACTTGCAAAGTGCAAGTGCCCTAATAATATCTGAAAAGCAAACAAAAAGCGAGCAAGAGTTCTTTGGGAAGTGGTTTCAAGATATATTCGTATATAAAAAAAGTAGCTTAGGTCCTAAATAAAGACTGTCAAAAAAGATTTATGAAAAAATCCATTAGATAAATAGAACTCAAAGCAATTTAACTGTATCACACAAAACTAAAACTAAACCTGTCTGAAAAAAATGATTCACTAGCCCGTAAACTTTTATGAGCTGCTCGCAATCAGTACTTACAGAATTCCTGAAACTCAACCGAGTGTAAAAACTTTTATGGTTTTTACAAAATAAAACAAAAAAATCAGTGAGAGGCTTGTGTAAATATGTTCATAACCTATTTTTGCTCGTGCTAAAGGCATCTGGTTTTTTTTTTGAGCCGATAAGATAAGAAGGCGACATATCAAAATTTGCCCACCGATTCCGTAATTATTTGCACATGGCCCAATTGTAAGTACTTAAAGATTGAAGATATGTGATTTCCCAATTCGTACTCCAAATATTGAAAATTCACTTGGTTCCCCGTGGCACCTGCTGGTCAAGCAAACTCGTTTCCGCCGCCACACAATAACTTACAATCTTACAATTATTGTTATTGTTAGTGCTGTTGTCATTTTACAATTTAACACAATTTGACGGGTTGACGAACGCGCTTTGTGTCTTTGGTAAATTGGCTTCCGTGGGCTGACTGGCCATTGATCAAAAACGTGGCCCAAACCGTTGGCCATCTGGCTTTAATTACGCAATTTTGCATTGATTGTGTCATTAGCGATTTGTTTAACCGGCAAAAAGTCGTGCAATCGCTTGTTTTTGATTGTCTTGACTTCAGGAGATTGTAATGAGGCCTTTACTAAGTGATCATTATCGAAAACTGATCGCCAATCAGCAATTTAGTGGGACTTGGGATTTTCTGGCAGCAAGAGAACTAAATTAAGAATATATTAAGGCTTTCAATTCTAAAAACTGTCTATAAGAAAAATATTACATAAATTTAGCAGAATTGAAAAAATGTGAAGTACATTTTTCGTTGGTAAAAAAATCTAAATTAAAAATATTTAAATATTTTTAGCATTTATTTGAAAGTTCTCTTTTAATTTAAGAAAAATGGAATGGAGTGGTAAAGGAACTTTTATCTTGGCAAGCTTTAAAGAAATTTAATAATCTATTTTCTGCAAAGGTCACTAGTTCAACTGGCTCTATCGTCGAAGACGTGGCTCAACCTGTTGTGAAGTTCCGGCAGCGGCCTGTCATAAAGATTATGCCGCCCTCGGTCAAGTGATTGGTTCCAGGGAACAAGAACGCCGAAGATCGTGCCACAGACTCTCGCCAAAATGCATTTGGCCTGCGTGGGCTTAACGGTGCAGAAAGAAAACACAGCTGAAGAAGAAACAAGGGGAACCGGGTCTCTCTCCATATCTCAATAGATTTATCTGCGCCTCTCGGAAACTGGAACAATTTGCGGGGCTTTGTGCTCGACCCGACCAGCCGACGGGGCAATTTGCACCGGGATTCGAGACTCGGGGCCTTCGGACAAGACTTCCCCAGTAATCGTAATCGGCTGCTCAATCAATTGGCTGCCAGTTTGTCCAACTGTCGTCCCGTCTTTCTGTTTGCCGATTTGAGCTGCAAGCTTATCGAATTAATCGTTCGAATTAGCCCGGGACAGCTCAATTTGCGCCGACTGCGACTGCACTTCCCATATATATACTCGTTTGTTAGGCTCTTTGCTGGTGGCTAAATTGCAGCAATTATTTTGTTTGTCGTCTGGGCAAACAACTTGCGTTGTCGGGATGTCGGGATGTGCTCTCTATTCTTGTTAATTATGAATGAATTTATGCGACAATGGGCGCAACCGCAAATGCGAGTGCATAAATTTGCATGTCAAGAAAGCGGATTCCTTTTCATCACAAAAGTTCACTGGGAAAAATCAGCTTAAACGGAAGTGGTCGAAGGGTATTGTCAATAACAAATTAAGAAGTTCAGTTTAGGCTTGCAATAAAAAGTAGGCAATTGTATTCTCCCTTATTCATTTTATTTAAAAATCTGAAAATTCCTAACCCTTAACAAATTTGTCATGAATTAATTGGAATAATATAAAGTGTCACACTTTACTTTAAACTAGGGCTTTAGTGAATCAAATCTAAATGATGTTACTTAAACACAACATTTAGAAAATATTATAAAGAAAGTTAAACTAGTTTTTGAAGATTCATAAAAAACTAATTTTATAGCCAATAACACCTGTTTATCAAGATTAATATTCCGTATCAAATGGTATGTTTTTATATAAACAATGGGATGCATGAAAACTTGTTCTCTGATTGAAAATTGAATAACATCTAATGAAATGTTAATATCATTTTCAGGAATAATGACTTCAAACTTCATTATATTTCGCCGTTTGATAGATAAATAAGTGGCTAGCATTCAAAGTTTCTGTTGAATTATTCAGAAGTTACGTTTTTTTTTTCCTGTGTGGGCCTTAAACGGTAGCGCTTAGGGGCAAAAACATTAGATCTCAGATACGGGCGAGTTCTTTGTACAAATGTCAGCCATGGAACGCCCACAATGCACGACCGCCAACATAATCCCCATCATCTACATCATCATGATGGAGATCGTAAAAAATAAAGAGTGGATGTGGATTGTGGGGGAATATGGGGATTATGGGGGGGGAGGTACAATTTGTTCAATTGCAGCAGCCTCTTGGGCGTCACAAGCGCGAATCTGTCTGCATCTAAAGTACTTTTTCCACTCTGACACAGTGACCTCGTGCCTGGGTTTTCCTATATTTTCCCCTTTTTTCCACTCATTTTTCCGTTCTCCATTCTCTTTTCGCGCCGTTTGTTTGGCTTATGACTGATTATGCCTCACGTTTCGGCTAATCTATGACGGAGTCTGGAGAATTTGTCATCGGACAAACAATGGCTCCCACTTTGGTTTTCTTGGAACCCATTCGTCTGCAAATATTTGCATATCTCATTAGCAGAGATGCTCAAGATACGAGTCTATGCTGGGTAGTTTGCAGTTGGTCGCGATCGCATAAGGCGAAAATATTGTAATTAGTTTTCGGGGAGTGGCGAAGACAGTTTCCAATCGGTAGTCAGCTGCTGGTTTTTAGTGCTCAGCCTTTTGGAAAGATTGTGTAAATTTGTTAAGAGCGGATGGTGGTTTGTTGACTCATGAAAATACAATTTAAGTAACTTAAAATATTTGGAATTTATTAACCATGATTTTTAAATTTGTTTAATTGGAAAATTAAGCTGGCAATCTTGAAATTGGGGTTGCAACAATGCGTATATCGATGGTAAGTGATTACAACTCTACTTCCACTTCATTTTCATGTCAATTTTATTTGTTCAACGTAAGTTAGCCAAAAATGAATGCCTACGACGAAGCCTTGTCCAAAGTCCTGGACAATTTGCTGGCCCAGAAGAACTGTGAGGTGGTGGACGACGTGCTACGTCAGTCGATGCTGGAACTTTTGCGGGACAGTGAGTAGCTAAAGAAAAATCCAATCCAAGGCAATGAAAAATGTTAATCATTGGAATTCCCCGGAGGATTCCGTGAGATTGCCAATCGGACCACCAATTGGGCCAATCACGCCGGTCGCAGTCAGCCCAGCTACTTTGATGTGGAGCGCACCTTTGGCCTGCTGGACATCAAGGTGGGCGACCTCAAGGCCATTTGCCAGGGTCACTCGGAGTCGAAGGCCGCGGTCGTATGTCCAGGGCCGCAGACATGCGACCAGGATTTCCACAGGGGGCCACAGCCACTGCTGAGCGCCTCGAAGCCCCGTGAAATGGCCTGCACCTCGCACATCCCCGATTATTTTCCCCCATTTCCCGGGGCGCACACCTTCAAGAATACGGTTATGGAGCAGGTCACTGATAGGAGCTATGTGGCTGTAAGGAATCGCCGTGCCGAGAACGAGTTGAACACCCAAAAGGCTCTGAATGGATTCTACTTGAGGTGCGGACCCAATCTATCGCTATTCGAAAGTGGCCAAAGCGATGACATCGGAAAGGTTTTGTCTGTGGGTCCGCCCAAGAAACCTGCCTTTTTGGATGCCCTGATGCCGCGCAGTCAGGTCTTTGAGAAGGACATCTACGAGTCCAAGGAGGAGATCACCCATGCAGGTATTTACAAAAATAGGGAAATATTTTTATAGTATTACAAAGTATTAAAAAAAATCACTAACATCCAATGAGCACTGACATCCAATGAAAATCAAAAATCTTGGAACTTTTATTACTGAATAAAAGTACTCAGTAACAGTAAATTAAATAAGAAACTTAGATCAAATTAAAAATAAACTTTTAACATTTTAAAAATTTAATTTAAAAATAATCAATATTCTTAAAACATTAAAGCTAATTCAGAGGCTTAGAAAAATAGTTTTGCGATGAATAATTCTCCTTCTATCACAAAAGAACTCTTAGAATACCTGAACTAAATGCCGATGCTGTTTGGTGAAATAACCTCGAAAATGAAAAAATCCACAGAAGCACTGAAGCATTCAACGCTTTTGATCGTTTTTGCCTGCCCGAGTTTATTTCATTATGCAGCCATCATCATCTCCTCATCGTCATAACCACTTTCACCCCGCCCCCACAGCCCTCTTGTGCCCCTTTTTGATGGAGCCCAAGGAGCAGAGTTCACGTCAATCTAGTGGAAATTACGAAGGCGAAGACGTGGAAATGCAGGAGCCCCGTAGCAATGTGGAACTGGACTCGGACTCCGACGAGGGGGAAGAGGTCCTTGCAGGAGGAGAGGGCGGAGATGGGATGCAGGACTCGGACTGCGAGCAGGAGATTAACTGGTCGCAGCCGGACTGAAAACTGAACACTGAAAAACCGAATTAAACTGCAGCTCAGGAAAAGAGCTGAAAAGCACACAAAATGTTTCCATTACAGACCGGGACTCCGCCGTAAAGTGTGAGAAAAATTAATTTATTTCAATTACATTTCATTAAGGACTGCCACACGTTGCCCTGATGGTGCGATGCCCTGATGTTCGCAGGAGCAGAGGTCCTGGCATCCCCAGCCAGCAGCAGATGCTCCTGCTGGTCTGGTTGGATTCTCCTGAACGGTTTGCGATTCGAAAGTATTAAATAACTTTGTAATTTAATTAACTTTGACGTCGAAGCATCGTCTGCGCTGCTGCGCCGCTTAACTTTGATTAACGTTTGCAATTTTTCAACAAGTTTCGACCGAACTTCTCGGCATCGGGGCGGCGACACTCCTGAGTGGCAGTCCACAGGATCCAAAGGATTGTGACTGTGATTTCTTCGCCTGGCTCGGATTACAGGGGATTTGGCAGGGCATCGCTATCCCTGTCTCATCTCATCTTTCCCCCCAGCTTCTTTCCCTTAACTATTTGAAATTTTATCTGGCGAATGGCAGGGGGGTGTTTTTAAGGTGGGAATATTGAATGCAATTAGAGAAGCTCGGGTGAGAGTCTCCCAGGATGACAAGCTAATAATCCCAGGGAACGAGCATAATCACTTGGAAAACTAATTACACAGGAAGAGTCGTGGCAATAATCAATAAAGCAATTGCCATTTGTCTTCCCCCAGTTTTATACTTCGTCTGAAATAATAATATGTATCCCATGAGTTTTACACGCCATTTCATTTTAACCACTAGTTTTCAAGCAGCTTTTATTGCCCTGCAAATAACCATCATTTGGAGCTATTAATTTCTTAATAAAAACCGCTGTTATTTTTTCAGTTTTTCTTTTTTAATGATCCTATTTTTTATTCCCTTTTGTTTCAATTTATTTTATTATTATGATTTCAATTGTTATTTAAACGAAGTGGATCTTTTAATTAAATGGCAAATGCTTTCATTAGTTTTTATGCTCTTCAAGTTTTATTTTCTCATCTAAATAAATGTTTTTACTCTGGATAAATGAATTATTGCAAGCACAAGCAAAAATATTTGCGACAGCTGTGAGGCCTGAATAATTTCAGATCTCACAAGAATTTGCCTGTTGAATTTTGCCAAAAGAAATTGATTCAATAAATAAGTGTAATGACCTGGAAACATGACGCATTTGCTCCACATTCCCGAGATGCTGGCCCTTTTCTGCCCATCATTTGGCTCATCATTTAGTCATCAGCTTTGAATTGGTTTCAACATTTTCCGCCGATGATGATTTTATTTGGCACAGGCAACGTCAGAATTTTACGCACAATTTGACTTTGATATTGTGCCAGGGTCGGGGAGGGTTAAAGGGGTTTTTCAGGGGGCCAGGGGCCAAAGATCAGACAGCTGGCAAACGCCGGCTGCTTGCAGGCAGCTTCACTTGCCAACTTTTCCGACTTTTCTTGGCTGCTGCTGCTGCTCTTGTTACTGTGCCATTAAAATGCATAAACATAAACACATGAACATAAACAACAACGGTACACAAATTTGTGAAAGACCTATAAAAATGAAATTACATTTATGTGGGAAAACATGGCCAAAACGAATAGGAGAAGAAGAAGCCAGCCACGTGAAGAAAGGCCAGCAAATGTTTAACAAAAATTTGCTGTTTTTATTGTTGCTGTGCCCAATTGCGTTTGTCATTTTAACCCAGTTAACCCATGTTAGCCAATATGCATTTATCTATGCATAAAAACCAACACTGAGCTTGTTGTTGTTGCTGTTTCCATTGGCCACAAAATTGCTTTGGCATCTTTGTTTATTTTGCGGTCAACAGATAAAATTCAATTCAACATGAAAACGAGGATGAAAATTATGGTTGCTTTGATTATTATTTTGCCGACTTTTTTTTTAGAGACACAAAAAAGTGTATTTTTTAATTTATTCAATTTATTAAGTGACAAAAAATGCGATGTAACACATGTAAATGCAGAATAATAATTATTTCATTTGGATTAAAAAACGTAATCGTTTTAATTAAAGAAAAACAAATTATATTTTAGTTATGATGAAAATAATGATTTTAATAATTCCTAGATTTGCATAAAAATGTTTCTTTAAATCCTAAGAAAATATAAACAATTTCGTAACATATTTTTCCTTTTATTTTCTCTTTTTTCATAGTAACCTTGGTTTTTTTGCTGTGCATGCAGGCGGACAAACCTTGTTGACCTCAGGGCATATAGTTTCTGATTTATTTATTCTAGTTGATAAAAATGCGGCCGGGTAAAAAGCGGATATCCTAACGAACAGCGGGTGGAGAAGGTCGTGTGTGGCAGTGGTAAAAAAAAGGCGAGTTCTGTCATAAAGTTCACATTTTCATTTCCGTTCACGGACTTTTGTGTGTGAGTAAGTTTCGTTACGACTGAGTGTGTGTGTGTTTCGACCATGTTATCTTGTTTACTTGCGAAGCCCCTCGACGCACAGGAACCACAACAACAGTAACAGCAACAACGACATAACAGCCATAACAACAAAAGCCAATTTTTCATAAATCTTTTTTTTCCCTCGGCCCTACAAGCCACTGTCCTTGAATTTTTACAGCTGCATTTAACCTTTTTCTCTTGACATTCGCTTTAAATTTGATGCCCGTGTGTGCCATAAAAAAGTTCTTTGCTGTTGCCTGCTTATATTGCTCATACGCCTCGTTGTCTGCGTGAAGCCATACAAATTGCTACCTCGTTATAATTATGATGTTTTTACGCCTAACGAGAGGGGGAGTTTCGTTGGGCTCTCTTAAGCAAATCAATTCAAGTTCACGCTTCTTATTTATTTACGTGTTTTCCTGGCTTTTATTTTATTTTTTCTTTTTTGCTTTGGAGCGGCGCGTGTGTGAAATGTACTTTCCATTGCCTTTTCCCAGCCTCACTTTCTTTTGCGTTGCGGTTTCAGTCATTTCTTCTTCGACTTGGGCCCGGCTTTATTTGATTTTTATTATCAAGCGGCTGCCTTTAAGGAAAATACAAAGCAAGCTTCGCTTTTTTTGCACGTGTTTTACTTTTCGCCCTTGTTGGGCATCTTTTCTTCTTTTGCGGCCCGTGTTATTTATGTTGTCTGCTTTTTGACACACATACTCGGCAATATGGAGTCGAGGCGAAGAAAAAAATAAGGAAAAAGTGCCAGTAAATCGCTCTTGCTTCGTGTTTAGCATGAGAATGCGCCGTTGCCTCGTTTGGGAATTACAAATTTCTTAGGGCCCAAAGCAACTGCAGAACATCATCCACTGTCGGGGACGGGGACCTTCCAAAAAACTTTAACTTGGAATATATGATGGGTGGCAAAAAAAACGCTCATATTTCGTATTGGGAAAGTCAAGATAGGTGGGTTCTTTCTTTAAAATAAAAAGGTTTTTAGGTCAGTCCTTCTTTAAAATAAAAAGGTTTTTAGGTCAGTTAAACCTTTTATGTATTTTATTTTCTTTGTGGTAAATAATAAATATTTTCACTTGAGATCTATATTTTGTTAAAAAATAATTTTAGTATAATAAAGATTTTATTTTTATACATTAACTATTTAATTTATTTAGCAAATGGATTGCAGATTCCGTGGTTTTTATTTGTAATAACAAAGATGTAACCAATTTGGCAAAAAGTACTATAAATAATATATCGAGAAAACTACATACTTTCCAACTTTACCCATTTCCCTTATCATTCTGCCCAATTTTTCCCGTATGACTTTTCTGAGAAATAGTTTGGCAAAACAGCAGCAGAAACAGAAAGAGAAGAACTGGGCGGACCGAGGCCACATCCCTTTTGGCCCATTTGTACGTGTTGTTAGCACGTTCTGTTGCTTTATGGCCGCTTTATTATGTAGCCGGGGGACCAGGGAAACTCACTTCCTTCTGGCCTTTTCTAGCATTTCCCCTCTCTTCACCGCTTTTCCTCGCTTTTCCAGCCTTTGTGCGTGTGTGCCGCAGCGTTTGTTACTCGATATTATGGCGGCTATATAAAGACAAGTGTATACGCGATTATATTTTTAGCATCGCTCTACGTGCGTAACGTGTTAAAAATAAAGCAAATTGCGTATACGCCGGGTCCGCTCTTCTATTTTCAAATGCTGCCGGCACGCCCCCTTTTCGGCTTAATTAAATTGATTGAATTTGATTGCCGGCAGTGCCAACTTGCCAAAGAGGATGCAATTACAGACTCCCTTCGGTTCACCTGTCGATTTCGCCTCTGACAACACCCAATTATGCAAATTTTTGCAGCCTCACTCACTCACTAGCAAAAGGCAGCAATTTCGCCGAAAATGCATTTCGAATTGAGTTAATAAACCTGTAAAAGCGCTGGAAAAGCAGCAGGACAAGAAGAGAGGAAAACTTCGTTGCATTGCTCCCTCAACCATTTGGCAAATGAAAATGTTTTGCGAATACCTAATGTGTTTATAATGCCAGAAACGTGCCAGCGTGCAGAAATTTTAGCATGTCAAAGTAGCAGCAGCGAATGCAAGTACCTACTACAGATACATCTTGGCTCGACTTCCGTCAGAAGGCCTGTCTCATTAGCTTGTCTTGCCAATTTATGCATTCTAAGCAGTTTCACCCGGCCACAAGCCGAGATGCCATCATGACAATGAAAGCCAGCCTCAAAAGGGGGGAATTTCATTTCATAATCACAACAAACTTGGCTCAAAAGCTCGCGGCAAGATGTCTGGAACAAAGTTGGCGACTGCCGAACAATGCCACTATACTATATACCAAACATATAATGGATATAATGCCCAAACAGCCATGAATGGGGCATGCAGCAAGGGCAGGCGGCGGCGCATGCGCAGCTTTTCGCGCATCTCGAGTTTCCCGCTCGAAGGCGACTCGAATGCTCCACTTGCAAGGTGGCAGCCTGACTTTCCGCAATCTTTCAAATCGCTTTTTATTGTGTCAGGAGGCAAAGTTAGCCTTTTGCCAGCCA